ATATTACAGGATGGTGGTGGGGAGTCTGTGAGAACGTTGGTGACTGTAATTCCTCTCTGCAGGGGGAGGAATCCGAGTATATAGAGTCCTTTATAAACTGCCCCAGTACACTTAGCTGCTCCTGCGCCTTTTCCTCTCCTCTTCTAATTAAGTTAGGCAATAAGAGAGTTCTCTCTCCCTGGGGACACTCGAGGAGGGTCCAAGGACCACTTGGCAGCATTGTTGCAGGATGGGAAGGGAGACAAGGAAGGGACCTTTCTCAGGGGAAATTTGTGCTGGACCCAGTGCTCGAGCTTTCCGTCTGCTTGCATATGTAGTCCTGACAACACAATTCAATACATATGAGGTAGGAAATTATTAACCTCATTGTATAGATGAAGAAACAACCTCAGAAGACCATAATAATGTTCCTCTTGCCACATAGCTAGGACTGGTTGATTTGGGATTAAAATTCAGATAGCCTTAAAATCCTATAGCTGTATGTGACTGCTAACTACAGAATTTGTGGGACCCTTTTCCAAAATGAAAATGTGGGGCTTCTTGTTCAAAAAGCAAGAAAAATGTACTGTTGAAGATTCTAAAATATAAAGCTTTTCCCTTTGTTCCGTGGTTTCTGTCTCTCTCTCGACCTGTCATGCTGTTTTTGATGTGCTCTTTGATGTCGCGTTCCTCTGGGTATGGGGATACTCCCAGAGTAGGAGCAGACTCTCACAGACATCTAGGGCCCTGCCCTATAACTTGAAGTGTGCAGTCCACTAGGTCCTGGGTTCCCCCTGCCACCAGCCACTGGACTGATGTCATGTTGAACCTGGCATCTCTCTTCCCATAGGACCGTCACTCCAACCCATAGGATTGCACCCTCTGCACTAGGATGTGCCTGGTACCTGGATCAAGAGTGGGTGAGAGGCATGCTCCTACTGAGTTGCCCTCTGAATGCACTGTGGCACTGCCAGCTGCAGGTGGGAACAGCTATGCCCTGCCCTGAGATGGTTCAGGTGTGTGTGTCTGATCTGACTCTGCCAGGTGAGGCTGGGGGCACCAGAGGGCAAGGGGTAGGGCGTGAGAACCAATCCTAGGGAGGCCAATAGCTCATGGAAATAGGACAGCACATGCCCCAAATCTCCACGCCCCCTGGGCATGCTCCATTGTCTCATCAGACTTCACTTACAGAGCCTACATTCAAAAATGAAATGATTAAGGATTTCAAAATGGTGACGGTAGAGCATGAAACTCAAGTGTAAGGCTTATCTGAGCATGGGGACCCTGTGCATCTGCACTGGTCACAGGCCCGTGAAGCCAGCCCTGGGCTGCGGAGAACTACACAACTGTAAGTAAAGATTCCTGAGCTCAAGGTATTTACAGAGGGAGAAGACAATAGGCAATGAGCTAATAAATTATTTGGAACAGATACCAAGTCAACATATAATGCTAATAAAATAGCTTGTGAGTAAGTGCTGTAACTAGGCTTTCTGTACACTGTTACTTGGTAAATTAAAAACTAGTTAGATTTCCTCATTTTTTTCCATCTGTCCATTCCCCAAAGTTTGATTCAGCAGGGACATGTGGCCACGGTTGAAGTGAGAGGAACAGCGCTCACTTGATGTTCTGGAATCTCCTGTGTGCAGCATTTTGCCTGAGAGGAAGGCACATGAGAGAGCGTGGGAGGAGGAGCAGAACCGGCCTGGTAGTCAGATGTCCAAAGGATTCAGGGAAAATCGATCGGGTTGAACCAAAAAAACTGGGTCAGAAATGGAGAGGAAGGAGCCAGCCAGGGTGTGAGTGTGGGTAAGTTGGCAAAGGTCAAGCACAAGAACCTGACCACCTGGCGATGGGATAGGAACTGGGGTTGGAATTACAGAGGACTTTAGAGAGAACTCCCATTCCAAAGGGGAAAACGGGTTCTTGGAGAGGGCAGAGGAAAAAGCTCCATCCCTCCAAAGCTAAGTGGGTGGATCAGTACTGCACAAGCCATTAAAGACCTACCCTGGCTCCCTGGTACCCTGAGCCCAGGGCGCCAGCCTGCCGTGTCCAGCTGGGTATAGATGGGCCACTCTCAGATCTTCCTACATGGTTCATCCAAAAGCTTTTATGAGGTAAGGGCAGGATCACAGACTAGGCCAGAGCAATTTGCTGTGATTTTTTTTTTCCCAAATGCAGAAACATTTGGCAAGTTGCTCAAGTTCCTCAGCCAGGCAGGGGGCTGGTGACCCATAGCAGATGACAGCAGAGGACAGCTGGGACCAACCCTTGGAAGTTGTAGTCAGTTCTTGGTCAATGGTCTTTATGGAGCAAGCTCCCGCTGCTGTGGGCTGGAGCAGGGGGTTGGGGAAGGCTGCTGTTCCTCCTGGCCTGGCCACTTCACTGTGGTTAGAAGACCAAAGCAGAGCTGCTGATGGGGGCTGCTCATGCATTAACTGCTTCTACTTATAAAACAAGAACCAAAAATGTGGATTTGTGTTATCAGACAGTTGAAATATAAACAGCTGAAATGGTTATAATGGCCAGAGGGGAGGAGGGCTGTTTGCCAACGTATAGGGAGCAGAGCAGAACTGCACTTAACTATCGAGCTACTCCTGTAAATATTTGCAAGCGCCCCTTCAAAGCTCGAAAGCCTAGGACAGGATCATTGGACGATTTGCTTAGAAGAAGTGGAAACAAAATTGACCTCGTGGTCCGAAGCGGCCATAAAAAGAAAGAGTGTGTATGGGCAGAAGACCAGAAAGGGAAAAAAATTGTTCTAAGTTTAATAAACACAAAAGAGAATAAAAATAAATCTCAAGAGCACTTATTTACAAACTTGATGGAACGATAAGATTGGGGCGGGTGGGTGTGAAAGATGGGTGTTTGTGGATGTAGAACAGGCCTATGGCGGTTCCACTGGAGGGGAAGGGGAAAAATCAACGAGATGTTTACTATTCCTAATGACAGGAAACACACTGAATTAGCTTTGCCCTCTCAGGATGCTCTTTCAAATCGTGTTTGAAGCTTCTGCTGTCTGAGGGGGAGGCCATGCAAAGATGAATGCAGCCACTAGGCCTGTGGAAGGTTCTGGCCAAACTAGAGGGCTCAGAGCCAGAGAGTCTGGTCCCAGCTTTGCCCAGGCTTCTCCGCCTGGGCATCCAGCCTGATTTCAGCTGAGCTGATCAGGCTAGTACCAGCCCGTCCAGTCACCTGGGGTGGGCATGTTCCGGAGGAGAGAAAGATCGATTTTTTTCTCAGCAGCTACGGTTTTAAATTGCCGTGCTAGGGGGCTCCAAAAACCTTTCTGCTTGTATGAAGGTTGGCCCGCCTGAAAACTGTCCACCAGCTCCTTCAAGTAGCCACGCAGCGGGCCATCACCGTATCTGCATAAATACTTTCTTTTCTCTGAACCCTGGATGCTTTAGATTTTTGGGGTTTTTTTGTTTGTTTGTTTGTTTGTTTCTGAGGCTTCTGGGTCACGAGCTACAAGGCCTCAATTCATAACGGTGGTTTATGAGCGGTCATGGGGCAGAGTGTGGCTTGGAATTCACCGTGTCCCCATGAGCTGCTTTCAGAGAGTCACAGGACGTGGAAAAAGGGACCGGGGAACGTCCTTATGGGGGATGAAAGTGCAGAACTCTGATGATGAGGAAATCTTGGTGTGTTCCTAGCCTTTTTTTCAGTGCAATCGTCAGGGCGTGGATTTCCCAAGAAATCATGAAAGGTATTTATTTCTATTTTAAGATCGGCAAGATGGCTCATTTATTTAATAAGTTAGTCTTGCCAATAGCCAGATGCCTGAGTCTTTCAAGACTCCCATTGATGACCAGCTATGCAAACAGTGGATATTTGGTGAACTCCATGTGCACAGAGCCCTGTCCTAGGGATGTGGGGAAAAAGAAAGACCTGGCAAGTATGGTCTCCACCCTCAAAAATCTTAAAATTTCCTGGGGGCAAACAAAATAAACAAACATAATTCAGAAGTAATAAAAACATTTGCAAAGAGCCATAAACAATGATTATGTGGTAATGAAGCTACATAATTGAGGAGAGGGTAGAAAGTAATGGTGCCACCAGGGTTGGAGGGAGCATTCTGGAATTATGAAAGTAAGCTTGCAGGAGACTGTGGAAGAGAATTGTAGAAATATACCTGTAACAAGTGGCCTGCCGGGTGTAGGTGCTCAATAAATGGGGGTTGTATATGAAGCCCGGGGGTAGAATTAGGACCTGCTTTGGTTTTGGTGTAGAATAAATTGCATATTGAAAGGCAATGGCAGATTATAAACTCTAACAACCCGTGAGCGTGAAATTGTTGTGTACTGTCTGCATCTCTGAATTTTACATGGCTCAGAACTGAAGGAATTTGGGCTGATTCTTTCTCTTCATTAGCCAGGATTTCCTCCTACCAATGGACATTATCCTGAATAGAATCTTAAGACTGGACCTGGTGTAGCTTGTGTGTGGCTATAGTTTTTTTTATTCAAATCCCCTCACCCTAACTTGATTACAGGGTGTGTTTGGTCATATGTGTGTGAAAATCCAAAATGTCAAGGCCAAAAAAGCTACAATACATGAACCTGGATAGAGTAGAGTATTTGGATGCCAACGTTTCAAGGAAAAAAAATCATGGGCACACTGCTTGCCATTAGGAGCTGTTTTCTTGGCACATCTGATTAAAGTGTGTGCAAGCCCATCAGCTCTCTCCAGCCATCGATCCTCATGAGCTTGTTCCAATTCATAACCATCTAGAGTTTTCCACCCCCCTGTCAACTTTTCAAAGGATAGAGTTAACTGCTTGCCCTCAAATGGAGTTGGAAGTGGTTTGTTAATCTCTCTTAATCTGCTACCTCTGTAACCAAATGCACATGTTTGTTTCTTTTTCTGGTTAAATAGATAATGGTGTTAAATTGGGCATTGGAAATGAAATCATTCTGTAGACATTTCCCTTATGGTTTCTTGAGACTATCTCATGCTGCATGGTCTTTTTTGAGAGAACAATGGATTTTATCATTTTCAATGATTGCCCTAACTTTTTACAGATGCCATCCCGCCTACTTTCTACAGACCCTACTTCAGAATTGTCCGATTTGACGTCTCAGCGATGGAGAAGAATGCTTCCAATTTGGTGAAAGCAGAGTTCAGAGTCTTTCGTTTACAGAACCCCAAAGCCAGAGTGCCCGAACAACGGATTGAATTGTATCAGGTAACTTTTGTTTGGGTTGTTTTAACAGGAAATCAGTTTGAAATCTTAGGATAAAAGACTTTCTACTGTCTTAGATTTCCTAAACTGATAGAAAGCATTCTGTATGTTCATGATCATGATATAGGCCCTCATTTGTTATTACTCCTACAATGACCACTCATTTCTCACTCACTCAGGAAGGAAGGAAGAACCTTTAGAATGAAATTGTGAAGCTCTGAGCACACTTCTTAAGTGGCATCAATGGCTGAAGTACACACCCTTGGGAGGGCTTTAGTCCTGAAATCCACCCCCGATTCTGGAAAGTCAGATGATGTAGGCCCAATTCCATGCTAAGAAGAGAAGTCAGCTGACCTTGCTTTTCTCATCTTGTGGCCCACCTTTTCTCCTTTTCTTTCTTCCTATTGTCTTCTCTCCCTTTCACTGTTTTTTCTTTCTCTATTTGCTACCTCCCGCCTCTTCACGAACCTGTCTTCTTTTCCTGTCTGAGTCTACCTGCTCTCTCCAGGCCACATCCCTTACTTCACACACACACACCCACATCCTCTGTCCACCTCTGTCCTCCATTATTTCAGGCAGCACTGACATCTCTCTCATCATCCTAAGTACAGTTGCTGGGCTGCCGTGTGAATGGTGATGATGATGATGAAGTCCCAAGTTATTGAGATTTCAAAGATGTTCTTAAAAGCCTGTTACTGAAGTGGAGTCTAAGGGCAGTAGCATCAGCATCACCTAAGAGCTGTGAGAAATGCAGAATCTTAGGCCCCATCCCAGACGCATCAGGTGTCTCCATCAGACGATCTCCAGGTGATTCTTATGCACCTTCAAGATCTCCAGGATCTTCATGCGTCTTTGAACGTCTTATGTGGAACGCGATCTCTAGTGATTCTTACGCACAGTCAAGTACTGCTCTAAAAGCCCTGAGTGTGGGGAGGGAGGCGGACCTGTACATGCATTGTAGTGTCGTATGAACAGTGTGTGCAAGCATAGAGGGCAGAGCTGGAAAGATTTCCCTAAAGGGTTGACATTTGAATGGGGCCTTGAGAAGTGTCTGTTAAAGCAGGATGAGGGATGGTCACTCTTGGCAGAAGGAGCAGCCTATGCAAAGACAGAGTATTGAAGGGGCCTGTTGAGGGCACCAGATGGATGGCGCTCAGTGCCTGGAGGTGAGGAGAGATTGAGGAGAAGGTTGGCCCCTGGGGAGAGTGTGTAGAGGGAGACAAAAGAAGATTAAGAACAGACCCCAAGAGCCACAGTGTTAAGTAGGTGTGTATGACAATACAACTAAAGAGTGGACTTACTGGAGGGAAAGAAATCAATTAACCTCTGTATACAGGAACCTCTTATTATGAAAATGGAGAATTACTATACAAATAACTGTTGTATGTGAGAGCTCAGAGAATACGTTTAACGTTTTTAAAACAATTTTCAAAGACTAGTTTATATGTGTATTTGTGAAAAATAATTCTTACTTATTAAAATGAGTCCTCAATGACCTCTCCTGAGGGACCTTCAAATCTTAAAGTGCGTTTTGGGAGCACCCTGAGGGCAGTGCAGAGGCTGACAGGCTGGCCATTGCTCTCCGTCATCCAGGAGAGCGTCAGACAGTTGGCTTCCTGTGTGGAGACCTTCTGTTCAGCACTTCCTAAGTATTATTTCAGTTAATACTCACAGCTGTATTGTGAAGTTTGTATCCTGAGGTATCCTTTTCTTCCTCATATTTATTGAGATATAATTGGCACATAACATTGTATTAGTTTAAGATGTACAATATAAAGATTTGATGTATATTTATATTGTGAAATGATTACCACAAGTTTAATTAACATCCATCACCTCACATAGTTACACTTGTTTTTTTAAAGATATGCTTTTTTTAGCGAGGAAGATTGGCCTTGAGCTAACATCTGTTGCCAATCTTCCTCTTTTTTTTTTTTTTTCTCCCCAAAGCCCTAGTACAGAGTTGTATATCCTAGTTGTAAGTCCTTCTAGTTCTTCTATGTGGGATGCTGCCACGGCATATCTTGATGAGTGGTGTGCAGGTCTCCACCCGGGATCCTAACCAGTGAATCCCTGGCCGCTGAAGCGGAGCATACAAACTTAAGCACTATGCACTGGACTGGCCCCTACAGTTTTTTTTCTAGTGATGAGAACTTTTAAGATCTACTCTCCCAGCAGCTTTCAAATCTACAATACACTGTTGTTAACTATAGTCACGATGCTGTACATGACATCCCTAGGGCTTATTCACCGTACAACTGGCAGTTTATACCTTTGGACCACTGTCACCAATTTGAAATATTCTTTCCACTACTGTATTCTTTCTCCATTTTGCTGAGAAAGATGCTGAAGCATACAGAAATTAAGGCACTTGGCCAGGGTCACACAGCTAGGAGGTGGCAGGGCTGGAACACCACTCCAGCTCTCACTCCCAAGCACCCTTTCCTCATCATGTACCATGCTGTTCATAGCCAATCAATCTCTTGCTCTTTGCCTCAGTATCAGCCAGAATCGAAGAAAAATAAGAGAAACTAGGCCGTCCAGAGGGTGGAGTGTTACTTGGAGGGAAAGCAAAGACTGGTTTCTTTGAAAAAGAAGTTGGATTGAAGGTAACCAGATAGATTGCAAGATGATTTTAAAAAAGCAAAAGCAAAAACATGATTACATCTCCCCTCTTTACTTCTTTTTCAATTAAATCACTCTTACATGTCTCTCTGTACAGATGACAGCATCACTGATTGTCCTTCTTGGCCCTGTTTCAAGTCTATGACTTCAGCACACGGAAGGCAAAGTCTCTTAGTTTTTGTTGCCTGTAATGTCAGCCACCACATCACTGTTGTTCTTTGGCCTGACCTTATGCTCTGAGGAGTGGCCTCTGATAACAGGACTACTGATGACTTGCCTTCTCCCAGAGGCTGTGTCATTTCTGGGGGAAGGATGTGTTCCTGAAGGCTGGTAATTTAGAGGACCGTAGTGAGTTCTTAGTGGGCGTGTCCCTTCTCCGAGGTTACTGCAGCGCCAGCTGCCCCATGACAGGAGAAACAATATCTACACAGATTAGAGTCCTCACGTTGGAAAAGACACTGCCCAAGATAGAAGCTTAAAGTATGAAGAAAATGAGCTTGGGCTTGTTCACTGTCACTGAACACAGGAATCCGGAAGGAGGTAGTTTTAGAGGGAAAATAAGGAAGACTAACAACTCCTTATCTATCTGGAGCTCAGCTAGGCAGCAATCTAACCTCCTGAAACCCAGCCAAGGTCCAGGAAGTAAGTCAAAGAGATCCCTCACCACCCTAACAGAACACACAACGCACACACACAGCTGACTTACCAGAAAGGCAGCCTTTGGCCCTTTATCCACTTCTGACTAGCTTGGTTATCTCCAGGGCCACAAGAAATTAGAAGCACTGAATTGGAAGAGGAGGGTTGGAGGAAGACAGTCTGAGAGCAGCAGATGTCCTGTTAGACTTGAGATTTTGGCCCCTGCACCACAGTGGTGCTAGGCCCGAAAACCAAGTCACAGAATGCAATGCGTATTAGGGACCATTCTCCTAAATCTTAGCCTGTTTATAGTCAAGTCACTCTTTTTCTCCTTACTACCCTTCTGACATCTGCTTGTGGCCTCTTTATTTGGAGTCCCATGTTGACTTGTGGTTCCCCAACTTTCCACTTGCCTTCAGCTGCCATTTGTAGGTCCTTGTAGTCTTCAGTAATAAACTCCCTCTTCTAGCCTCAGTACAGAAATTGATGCTTGTGACAAGAGCCTTGAATTGTGAAGGCGAGGCTAAATTATATTTAGGAAGCTGAACCCATGCAATGAATTTTAGAAGTTTTATATGCAAAATTGCTGGGAAAAGAAAAAAGGCTTGGTACTTAAATGGGCAGCTCTTCAGCTATTTGGAAATCTCAGCTCTTCAGAAGAACACTGCCTCTGGAGTTTTGGATGCCCTTTTCTTTTTTTAAATTTTTAATTTGTTTTCATTTATTTATTTTTTCTCAGAAAGATTTGCTCTGAGCTAACATCTGTTGCCAATCTCCCTCTCTCTCTTTTTTTTTCCCCTCCCCAAAGCCCCAGTACATAATTTTATATTCTAGTTGTAAGTCCTTCTAGTCTTCTGTGTGAGCCGCCACCACAGCATGGCTACTCACAGATGAGTGCTATGGTTCTGCACCCAGGAACCAAACCTGGGCCACTGAAGAGGAACGCACTGAACTTTAACAGCTAGGCCATCAGGGGTGGCTCTGGATGCCGTTTGATTACTGTATTACTTGGCACACAGTTGACTTTCAACTCCCTGGAGGAGGTAGGATGACTATGACTAAGTTCTCAGGATGTTTAGGTGGTTGTATGGATGATTTATTAGGATTCCCCAGGCCATTGATTTTAAGTAGGGAGTGTGTGTATGTGTATGCAAGCTCACATGTGAGTGTAGACATTCCCCTAAGTATGAAAGGCCTGGGGGAGCTTTGACAAGCACTGACCATGGTCCCCTTCCTGGAGATTCTGATTCTCTCTGGAGAGGAAAAATACTGCCTCTGCACAGATGTGGTTTGAAAAAGTTCTCCTCATGATTCATATGTGATCATTCTCCATTCTTCATTGAGAATCACAGATTTAAGGCATCTGAGGCTTTTGGGGTCATTTTGTCCTTTAAAATGTATGTAGATACTCTTTCTAGAGTCAGAATACCAGGCTATAAGGACCTAAGGTAGCATTTCTGTGAGTGAGTTCAAGTTTGTCTTGTCCAGGGCTGTGCATCTGTTGATTTTCCCTGCCTGGGAGAGTCAGGACACCCGAGCTTCTGTGGAAGTCGCGTTTAGCTTGGCAAGAGAACTCAGAGTTCTTGCTACCCTCCCCTTTCTACAGAATAGACTGTCAGAACTTTGATGAATGGTAGTAAAACAAAACCTTACTGCTCTCCTGCTATCTCTGACTTTTGTTATGTTAACAGACTCTGTATAGTGTATACTGGTGTGATCACAGTATGACTTCAAATGTACAT